AGATGACAGTTAGGACGACAGAACAAGACGACAGTAAGGACAACAGAATAAGATGACAGTTAGGACGACAGAACAGGACGACAGTTAGGACGACAGAACAAGACGACAGTAAGGACAACAGAATAAGATGACAGTTAGGACGACAGAACAAGACGACAGTTAGGACAACAGAACAGGACGACAGTTAGGACGACAGAACAAGACGACAGTAAGGACAACAGAATAAGATGACAGTTAGGACGACAGAACAGGACGACAATTAGGATGACCGAACAAGATGACAGTTAGGACGATAGAATAAGATGACAGTTAGGATGACAGAACAGGACGACAGTTAGGATGACAGAACAAGATGACAGTTAGTTAAGACGACGTCAACAGACAACATACACGCCTACATATACTGATTTACCTGAACAAGTAGGCATTGACTGTAGACAAAGACAAATGTATAGTACAAAGCACAAAGCAGTCGACTCATTTTTGACACAAATGGAACCTCATAATTTAGATCTTAATGTTTATTGAAAATAATCAAATTTGAAGTCACCGTTATGGAGATAAGCATTTGCTTTAGCTGGGCTCTTGACCCTTGACTTTTAAACATTAGTTTATCTCTGGTTGATGTAATTGTGTTTATGTCAATCAGCACTTAATTAATCACATAATTATCTCATTAACTTTAACACTGCTTCAGTGTTACTTTAACACTCTTTTAGAGTGGGACCATATATGCTCCGAGCAGTGTTAATTTAACACTCGGGATTTTACTGTGTAGAGCTAACCTGATTTCTCTGGCTAGGTAAAATTACTTAATCTTGATATAAATCTCTAACCTGCAAATTCGTAGCACATGAAGCCAATACATCACAGCGTGACCTTGTAAATAAATTAAAAGAGCTTAAATGTAAAACTGCAGCATTGTAGGACATTGTAGACATTGCAGAGTGTGATGTCATTTCACAACTGTTGATATGTCTGCTGCCCTGTTATGACATGTATGCCATCGGACCTGGTTTAAACACAGCACCCAAGAGATGGGCAGCGCTTATCCAGCTGCCGTAAGCATGTTTGTTTAGTAGCATGAGAGATAAAAAGCGGTGAGCCCGACACTTATAAATGTTGTAACTATACCTCTTTGCACGAAGGGCCAGTGGCTGCTGAGCAAATTATAAAAAAGCAATGAATCACATTGCTTGTGGAATAATACATTTGAAGTCAGGTCGAGCTGTGTCAATGCAGTCTGACCAGCCATTTCAGCTGACAGGGAAGTGGCGAACTCCACATCTGACCTAATGGGTGATGAGCAGCTGAAGTGATTAGTGCTCTGAACACAGCAGACCGCCACGCTGAGGTGGGGGGCTGCTTATAAAGTGTCAATAAGGGGGCAACTTTCATGCTTTATATAAGCCAGATCGCCACTTCAAGGCAAGGGGCCATCCCAGATAGCAACATATTGTCGCTGTCATATGATGGCACTTGGGCGGACCGCTTCTGTTTGCCAGATCTGGGCCAAAAGCAGGCCATAGCAATGCCACATGTCAGCCAAGAGCAAAGAAATAAAACACACTGGACCTTATCTGAGCCACAAAATCTTCATATATTATTTATAGAGTCCTCTCAGCTTGTCTAAGCTTGTTACCAAAATAAGACCATACGCCTTATTTATAAACAATTGGTAATAGGTATGGGTGTTCGTATCCTGTATTTATGTAAAAAAAAACACAACAACAACATCATACTCTGTTCGGAATTAACCAGAGGTTGAATCACATTCAAACTATAATTAAAACTAATTATAGTCTTCTGGTGATGCTGATTTACTCAGAACTAGCAACGAATTTTAACGAGAACGAGTTTTATTCAATCAACAAAGAGTTTATAAAGGCTCATCATAAAGAGACCAATCAGGAAAAGTATTTCTAAAACATTAGATCTGCCACGGAGTACCGTGAAGGCCATCAACAAGACATGTAACAACAATATTCCATATTCTTCATCTGTCTAGGCCAGGGGTGCCCAAACTCGGTCCTGGAGGGCCGGTGTCTTACAGAGTTTAGCTCCAGCTTGCCTCAACACACCTGCTTGGAAGTTTCTAGTATGCCTAGTAAGACCTTGATTAGCTGCTTCAGGTGTGTTTGATTAGGGTTGGAGCTAAACTCTGCAGGACACCGGCCCTCCAGGACCGAGTGTGGGCACCCCTGGTCTAGGCTATTGGAGAGGGTGGATATATAAGTTCTGTCAGGAAACTCTAGATGGCGCATGGCTGATATGTCCTTAATGCAATTTGCTTGTAATCATATCATTATCTACATGGCACAGCTGATTCTTCCAAGTAGATATAACTGCAGACCGGAGATCTCCAAAATGGGGCGTGAACTCCAAAAGTGGGCAGAACCTCCAAAATGGGGCGGGGTCTCCTCAAGCAAAGACTTTCAGCATTGGCTCTGGCTCCAGCCAATTGAAATGACGTCGCTGTCGACCGGCTTACGTCACTTCCTAGTACACACTGTCGGTGTGAATGCAACCTTTTAAATGGTACTGGGAAATGGTTCACGCAAAATCGTCCCAGTACTTTCGTACTGTACATTTAGCTCTGGAACTAAAGCGGTGCGAAAGGCCCTATAGTTTCTAGTTCATCTAAAATAAAATATGCTATATAAGTAAATATTCTCCATGAGAGCAGAGCCCAAAGCTCGTGGCCAGTGTTGTTCGGACTGGAGTTTGAACATCTGCTTAATGATATAAACGGGAATCACGCACGAGCTCTTCCGCGAGCCGTCCCAGTGCAGCGCAGGGGAAAGATTTTACTCTATCGCTTTGTTCTAAGCAACGGAGGCGTCCCGGGGCTCGAAATTCGTAGGGTAGGAGGGGGTAGTGACACTGGGTGTAACTAAAAAGGTGCCATTGTCCGGTGAGGTCCGGTTGGGGAGTTACGGAACGATCTCATATCGCATAATCTTATTAACTGTTTATCTCCTGAACTGCATCTTTCTTTACCACGCTATTCAGCGCCAATCCCGCAGTGCAGTCAATTTCACTGGTTAAGGTTAGGGTCAGGTGTTTAGGGGTTAGCATTTTTTGTAGCATAGTGTAGGAAATCAACACTTTAATTGACACAACCAATAAAATCTTTAGAATCAGCTGTGGGGCGGAGTTTGCCCTGAAGTGGATTGGGGGAAAAAGTGCGCATGCGTGTCATGTGCCTGTATGTCAATGGGAGGAAGCCACGCCCTATTTTGGAGCTCCCACCCCGTTTTGGAGTTCTCCAGGCTGCAGTTATACCCTTCTCGATTCTTTTGCATCAACTTCCAATGAGCTTGCTGCTCAACAGTGAAATACTTGGCCAGTGTTTGCTGTAGTAGTTGCAGCGCACTTTCAGAAAGCATCTGAAATCAACATCTAAGATAAGTGAACGCTCTGTCATTCCATATCACTGTGCATATTGCATGGTCTGCTTATTTTCTAAATGAGCAAATAATAATACGTTTTTAACTAAGCGTGATGTTTAACAGTCTTGCATTTGATGCAGGAGTGAATTACTAAGCATAAATGCAATTGTGTTTATGCAGCAGCAAGCGGTCTGTATGTAATTGCTATGAGGATATGTCGACTAAGATGCAGATATGAGAACAGGTTAAAGTGAAATAAGCATTCGCACTTGTATTCACCATCAACCGGGGTTCACCATATATAGCTGTTTATGTTCATCCTATCTGTGCAGATATATGCATGTCTACCAGTACAGCAGCTTGTTTTCCTACACTCAGCAGCATGAATATTTTGGATTGAATTGTTCGTTTCTCATGTTTCATTCTTTGTTGGGGGGTAATTAATGTTATATGTGCAGCAGCAACATGTCTTACATGTTCACAGCAGCATGTCTTTGGATGTTTGGGCAAGTCTCTGTACTTTAACATTGCTGTGTCCATTACCATGCCAGTCTCTCAGAGAGTTGTCATGACAGAACTCACACACACAAAAAAAATAAAAATAGCCAAAATTGCATTGCAGTAGAATTTCACCTCCAGCCAGCTGCTCAGATTAGCCACCATCATGCAATTCTCTAGAAATTTTTAATCTATATCAACAGATTAAAAAGGGTTATTCCTATTGTGGATTGAGTTACTAATCAGCCTATCATGTGAAGATAATGGCACCTTTGTGGAACTTTAATTTTATTAGACTGAAAAATCTATGCAATGCAAATATCTTTGCATTTACCAGTGTTGCATTTCATGAAAGAAATGTCACTATAGTGTATTCGTATTGGCTTTATAAATTGGATCAAAACATAACACTTTAAGACTAATTAAACCCTTAACTTATTCTTTAAATTTGCATCTAAATCTAGGCCTTATGTAACAGGGAATTAGGGTACTGGACCACTGAATGAGTATACCATTCTTACACATAAAAAAATAAAACAATAAATATTTTTGTTCCAAGACATCATCATGTGATATTGCCAAGAAATGAAACAGAACAAAATCAATTAAATTAAAGTGTTTTAAGCAGAGATCCAAAAACAGTCAAAATGACTAAAAACTGAGCATTGTGTGCGAATGTATTAAGATTATACCCCCTCAAGCAGCTGAATTGGCTTTTTTATTGGTTATTTAAATCTAGCAGAGTGGGAACATGGAACAACTTATGTTCTAAAAAAGATATCAAACAGCCTTCCACAAATGTGAAGGTGTGGTCATGATGCGATTTTTTTCAAAACACCTCAATATTTGACAAGCAATATCAAATATTACTAAGGTAAGTCACTCTCAAAACAATGTCTGCTTCCTACATTGTATACAAGACTGTAGATAGACGAATGTTAAGTATCTCTATCTCAGTCTTTTTGTCCCAGAAACAAAAGCAGAATTTGAATTCATTCAAAAACAGTCTTTAATCTTTTCCTCTCCTCTCTTGCTTGCCTCTCTCACTTTATTGCCTGTACCTTCCCTGCAAGTTTTTTAAAACTTCATATACTATAAAAGATTTCCTACCTCTTCAGTTGTTCCCGTGTTACTTCTAATGTTGTTGCAGCTGCTGCAGACAATATTAGCAAATACAGGCAAAATACAGCAGACTACTTTAGGTGTTTGATAGTTGTCCTCAAAATATGAAATGTTTTTCAATCAAGAATAGAGGGCTGGAACTACTCAGAATTACATGTTTTTGTGTCAGCATTTGTGACGCCAAAACGACGCAAAATATTTTGCCTCAGTGCATGTGTCTTGTCTTGACATGCCAGTCCAAGTCTACACACACATCCTCTGCCTAGACATGCTGGTTCAGCAAACTCCAAAGGCCTTGGAATGGAAAAAAGGGAGTGTGAGAAAGAGACATGGGTTGAGGAACATAAAATCAGAGGCACAAATACAGACAGACAAAGGAACGGAGACAAAAAAGTCAGAGATAAACCATGCAAACATCCTTTACGTATAATAAAGAATACAGAAATTAGCTATCAAAATAGGGACATATATACATATACATATAAATAGTTTTAGAAATGTACCCTGTATACTTTTCTTTATACAGTAAATACTGCAACCTAACTGGAACAATTTCTGCATTTTAACAAATTTTAATCAGTAGATAAACACACACATACACAGTAAAATCCCGAGTGTTAAATTAACACTGCTCGGAGCATATATGGTCCCACTCTAAAAGAGTGTTAAAGTAACAATGAAGCAGTATCTCATTAAAGTTAATGAGACAATGATGTGATTAATTAAGTGCTGATTGAGCATTAGTGATGAACACCTGCTGTTAACAAGCAGAATCACTGAAGAAAAGAGAAACACAAGAACTACAACTGACTTTAGTCACAGCCTTAAATGAAATCAACTGAAATAATAGACATTAAATCTCTCAAGATCTCAGCAGACGATGATTAATCATCTCCACAAACAGCATCACCAACTTCAAACATTACTAACCAGTTTGACTTTTTTGTCATGCGTCTAAAAATTTCTTATTAAGAATTAAAAGAGGTTTAGATATTAATATTTATTGAAAATAATAAAATTTGAAGTCACCACTGTGGAGATAAGCGTTTGTGCTTGATAAACTCTATTAAACCAGCCAAAAAGAATCTTATATTTAATAAGAAAAGGGTCAAGAGGCAACTAAAGCAAACACTATTCACTAAAACGGTAAGTTGAAAAAGAAAAAAAATCTAAACCTTAATTGTCAATAAAGAACTTATGTTTTAGATACTCTAGAAAAAAAGCCTAACTGGTTAGTAATGCATGAAGCTGGTGATGTTGTTTGTGGATTTGTTTAATTATCTTCTGCTGAGATCGTGAGAGATTTAATGTCTTCTTTTATTTCAGTTGATTTCATCTAAGGCTGTGTCTGAAGTCAGTTGTAGCTCTTGTGTTTCTCTTTTCTTCAGTGATTCTGCTTGTTAACAGCAGGTGTTCATCACTAATAATTCTCAATCAGCACTTAATTAATCACATAATTATCTCATTAACTTTAACACTGCTTCAGTGTTACTTTAACACTCTTTTAGAGTGGGACCATATATGCTCCGAGCAGTGTTAATTTAACACTCAGGATTTTACTGTGCACGGATAACAATGTTTCATCATGCAAATATACATTTCAATAAATGTTAAATAAAGTGCCAGCCGTAGCATGTGCATACACAGACTGCATACTCTTAAGAGCAATATTTCAAATTAGAGGTCTGGAGCAATATTAAGTAGTTACCCTATAACAGTTTCCACCAACACATGAAAAGCAACAGCAATAACAACACAGCAAATGCACATTTGCAGAACAACAAAACAGCAAAATTGTACATACACATACGTGTTATATCAATATAGATATTATAATATTCGCTTTATGTCTGTCAGCTCGTTCCCTTTCTGAAATTTTGACTCTATTAAAGAACTAAATGAACATTGTTATGGAATGGTTTCTCCTGAGTTGGCAGTGAAAGTGTGCCCATTGACTCTCAAACGTCTATAGCAGAGGTTTTTAACTAATTTTGCTTCAGGACCCAAATTTTACATTGGATGGCACTGATATCAAAGTAAATACAGTGGGATCCAAAGGTCTGAGACCACACTCAGTATAGGATTCAAGATCTGAGAATTATGACATCACATGGAAACAGCTACTCACTGCTTTATAACACCACAAGCAGTGTTACAGAGAGAGATCTAATACAAGAAGTCAAGGGTCAAGAGCGCAACTAAAGCAAACACTGATCTCCATGATGGTGGCATCATTTTAACCAATAAAACATCAACATCAGATCCTCTGTAATTCTCAGTAACAGCAGGTGTTCATCACTAATGCACAATCATAATTTAATTAGTCACTTAATTATCTCATTAACTTTAACTCTTTGAGGACTTGGGATATGACTTGAAGACTTGCTTGTGACTTGAAAGTCCCACCTCTGCATTATATTATTACTCTTCCTATACAATTGTGCTATTGTTAATATCTAAATATCATAAATTGTCCTGCTTGTAGAGAAAAGATGTGTTCTTTTTCTTTGAAATATATTATTGCTTTTCTAAATGATCACAGTGTTATTTTTGCCTTGTAGGTCTTATTTAGAAAATAATTTACACTTATTTAGAAATCAGAATATCATATAAATGTGGCACTTTTCACTTGGGCAAGCAACCACCTGAAACCCCTTAATAATTGCATAGCATAGCACTTGAATTACTTCACTTGTAACAGCAAATTATTACAGAGAAGAAAAAAAACTACTTTAGCCTTGATATATGCTCATTAAAATAGATTTTTATTCAATAACTAATGCCAGTAATATGTAATAACAACATAACACATACATTTTATCCTAAAACGACTGTCAAATGGCAACACTATAGATGACACAAACAGATCCCAAACTAAATGTGTATCACTCCATTTCTCTCAGTGGCCATTTTTAGCTGTCTCAGAATTCAATGGGCTCCCACCCTTGACCATAATTATACATTGCTCCTTGGGTTTATGTGTGCACATTCCACATTATTTGGTCATTTGAACATTTTTACTTTACTTATTTGCCAAATTGCATACATTTGCATAATTGCATAAAGAAGACAATACAGTCTTCAGAATTTGTTGCATTGTAGAGTTACTGTTCTGGTCGTTCACAATCAGTAAGGGTGGAGGGGTTTCAGTTAAATCCCCTGCCCCTATTTAAAGGGGTCCCACAAGGAAGCATATTGGGGTCTATACTTTTTAATATTTATGTTAATGATATTGCTCTTGCTGCAGGTGATTCTCACGTACATTTATACGCTGATGACACTATAATTTATACATTTAGTTCTTCCTTGACCATCGCATTATTTTTATTGCAGGCCAGTTTTACTCACATCCAACATGCTTTCTCTAGTCTTCAATTAGTTTTAAATACAAATAAAACAAAATGTATGGTTTTTAATAGAAATGTACCACATGTTGAATATCTGCCTAAAATTTTTTCATTGAATGGCTCTGAGATTGATTATGTTAAATGCTACAAATATCTTGGTATCTGGCTTGATAGCAAATTGTCATTTGAAACTCACATAAATGTACTGCTCAGAAAGGTTAAATCTCGTATTGGTTTTCTTTATCGTAACAGATCTTCATTTACACATTCTTCAAAACAGTTTTTGGTTAAAATGACAGTGCTTCCCATCCTGGATTTAACACTGAAGCAGTGTTAAAGTTGAGATAATTTTGTGATTAATTAAGTGCTGATTGAGCATTAGTGATGAACAGCTGCTGTTAACAAGCAGAATCACTGAAGAAAAGAGAAACAAGAATTACAACTGACTTCAGCCACAGATGAAATCAACTGAAATAAAAGAAGACATTAAATCTCTGAAGATCTCAGCAGAAGATGATTAATCATCTCCACAAACAGCATCACCAGCTTCGCACATTACTAACCAGTTTGAATTTTTGTTTGTCATGCGTCTAAAAAAATTCTTATTAAGAATTAACAGAGATTTAGATCTTAATGTTTATTGAAAATAATACAATTTGAAGTCACCGTTGTGGAGAGGGGCTCTTGACCCTTGACTTTTTATCATTAGTTTTTCTCTGGTTGTTGTGGTTGTGTTTATGAAACACATTTGTTATGGCAAGAAAAACCAAGATAAAATGTGTTCAGATTATATATATATTTTTTTATGAAAAATTTCTAATTTGAAAGCCCATTTTTTTGATAATGACATTGTTGTTGTGAAACAGCCAGGTTCACTGATGTCACCAGTGGTAGTGTGTAATATAGTTTGTTATTGATCATAACTGAATTTTCATGAAATAATAGTTAGAGCTTTAAAAAAAACTTTGCACACCAGTTTAGAACATCTTAGCTGTTTAGACACACAGCCATCAAGAATCAGCATATGAATCTCAACAATGGTGACGATCATCAGACAGATTCATG